TGAACAACTCTTCTCGTACAAATGCCCTACCCGGTCCATCTTGAAGATAATAAAGAATAGGCTCTCCTTCTTTCGTAACCAATCGACTAATGTTATACGTCTTAAGGGACCATATGGGATCGGTTGCGCGACGTAGACCTCCTTCGAGTTCACCTGCCTGGTATAAATATCTTACCCTTACTCTGTCCGGAAGTTTTCGTTCTTTGCCTCTCCTCGGTGCTGAAGATTCGGAAGTCACGGATTTCATTTTAATAGCATCGGATGGTTTCTTCCCTATTAATCTCGTTACTTCATTATCCAGCGCTGATACAACGGCTGATAATCGTGTCACCCATTCGGTTGATCTCAATCGCTCGGATTTCATTTCGATCCCATACTGATAGCCAAACAAACGTTCCGCTAATGTCCTGTTAAATCTTTCGACGATAGCTTGACTGCGGTGGGCCTCTCTTTCACCACGGACGATTTCGACATCGTGCTTTGTTAACAGTTTAGTTACCGATCCCATAAACTCACGACCGGGATCTACTTGAAATAGCTTAGGCCATTTTAGTGGTCCGCGTTTATATATGCGACTCAGTGCATTAGCTACTTCTGTTGATTCTTTCGAGGTTAATGGCTCAGCCTCTTTGTATCGACTAGCCACATCCACTACTGTTAAAGCGTATTTATACGTTTTGCGTTTTACCTTATCGTGGGGAAGAAACAAGAGGTCAGCCTGATGAACTTCATTCGTCGTAAAAATATCAAATTTCTTCCTCGGTATATAACGCGGTGCCGGTAAGTATATTTGCCACATCGCTTGTTTCTTTAACCAATCCTTGGCCACATCTTTAGATACCTTAGCCGTGGTGGCTAATTTTTTTATTGCTCCTACACCTTTCCAATATCCTCGTGGGCTATAGTAAATTTTATCCATTATTAATTAATATTGATGTTTCGTTTAATACAACTCATGACTATCGTTGAATCGCATAATCCTTTTGGCATAAAAAATGCCACCTGTAGTAGCAGTATAGGTAATAAATCTGGCTCCAGTGGAAGTGGTCCAGAATCCCTATTATCTATAAAAATTTATATCATTGGCTCCAGGTGGTGGTGAGCTGGAGTCAATTTAGCTGAATCTCATGACTATCATTGAATCGCATAATCATTTTGGCATAAAAAATTCCATCTGTAGTAGCAGTATAGGTATATAAATCTGGCTCCATTGGAAGTGGTCCAGAACCCCTATTACCTATACTACTTGCGATATGTCTTCTTACCAACGTAGACTTATAGCCATGTTCCGGTGTAATAATTTCAGACTTGCTGTTGCGTCACAACAACATCCCATATAATGAACGTGTCTGTTTTTCGAAGGGACATAACCATGTTGAAGATGAGTTCCATGTTCTTATGATTTGTGACCAGTATTCGAGAGCAGGAAGAAACTCTTTTCCCAAGCGTCTCATTACCCCTCCCTCTATTGAGTATTTTATAAGACTTATGTCAGCGGAAAACGAACAAATTATAAAAAGCTTAGGTAAATTTCTCTTCCAAGTCATGAACATTCAAACGAAAACACAGTGTTGAACAGTAAATCATTATTAAATCTACTCAGCATGCAAATATATATATATACAGTATATTTCCATTGTATTATGGGCCGGTGGCCTGAAGTACCGAATAAATTTTTCTGTCCGTCTGTCTGTATAATCAGATTGGTTCGAGATTGCAGACTAACGGAAAATCAACCAACTTCTTCCTTACATTCTTACTATATCAACAAGAGTTTGCCACTAATGTGGCTATATCCCCCGCCCGTTTCAGAATTTATGACATAATAAAATCTAAACAAACACTAACCTTTTTTAACCGAGGTGGAACTTGTCATAGAAATTGTAAAAAAAAGAAGAGTTTGGAACCTAAGTCCATCTTGTTGCCATGGAAACGTAAAAAATTAAAATTTCTAAAATTTCTAAATTGCAAAAGGCACCAGTTCAGCATGTACTTGACAGACCTGCAAAGTTTCATGAAACAAGAGTCATCAGAAAGATGACATATCCCCCCGGCAGCTGTCTGTAAATTAACCACAAGTAAATGTGCAATTCTGTATGTAATGAGTCAAGAGTTGAATGTTCTTGAAGAAGCATACATTGTTTACCCACAAAAGATCCACCATGGTCGCATCCATATGAAATGGAAAGTACAATAAGTGTGTTTCTGTGGGTTTTTTTTATGCAAACAAATGACAAATTACAAGAAACAAATACTAAACAAGTGTATAGTCAACGAAGTCATCTATATCCCCCGCCTATTTTAACATGTTATGGCCCAAACCAGGTAACTGACCCTACATTTCTCATAGCCCATGTCAATATAGCTGCAATGGAAATTTGAAATAAACATTTCTAAAACTCCTTTATATCAAATGGCACCAGTTAAGTATGTGCTTTATATAAAGACATGCAATGTTTGGCAAGGAAATATTTAACAGTTTATTTGTTTAAATATACTCCATAAGTGAACCCACCCTATATTAAAACTTAAATCCAACTTGTTGTTTATGGAAACGTAAAAAATAAAAAAATGTAAAATTCCTAAATAGCAAAAGGCACCAGTTCAGTATGTGCCTGGTAGACATGCAAAGTTTTGTAAGAAAGTATTTAACAGTTCTTGAGTTACGCTCTGGAAACGAACACCACCCTAAAAGAACCTAAGTCCAACTTGTTGCCATGTAAACGTAAAAATTAAAAATTTCTAAAATTCCTAATTAGTAGAAGGCACCAGTTCAGCATGTGTCTCATAGACATGCAAAGTTTTGTAAGAAAGTTTTGAATGGGTTTTGAGTTATGCTCCGGAAACGAACTCTACCCTATAGAACCTAAGTCCAACTTGTTGACATGTAAACGTAAAAAATAAAAACTTTTTAAATTCCCAAATAGCAAAAGGCACCAGTTCAGTATGTGCCTGGTAGACATGCAAAGTTTTGTAAGAAAGTATTTAACGGTTTTTGAGTTACGCTCCAGAAATAAACACCACTCTTACAGAACCTAAGTCCAACTTGTTGCTGTGGAAACGTAAAAAATAAAAATTTCTCAAATTCCTAAATAGCAAAAGGCACAACTTCAGTATGTGACTGATAGATTTGCAAAGTTTTGATCAAATACACTGAATTGTTTTCGAGTTCTGCCTCGGAAAAGGAAATGATTACGGACGGACGGACAGACAGACTGGCTGATCGCTATATCCCCACGCATTATATGCCGGGGGGAATAAAAATATTGAACGGTTTCTGAGTTATGCTCCGGAAACGAAACGTGACGGACGGACCGACTGAGCCCGTTTCTATATCCCCCGCCAACTTAGTTGGGCTGGGGGATAACATGATAGTTTTAATGAAATAGAAATTCAAATTGACAAACAAAGAAAGTAATTTAGCAGGGGTAAGTGTATTCGGCGTCACGACAGTCATCACTTGTTTGTAAACATAATGGTCTTTCGGTTGCGAGTTCAACTCCAAGCATGGTTGGGGCCACCTATCACAGTGGGGAGTTTTGACTGGTGGTAGCGATAGTATAGAGACCTCCGCGAACGGGCTATTGCTGCGAGGAGCTTGGTCTGGGCTGGTAAAATGATGGCTACCAAGTAAATGACTGAAGTCAACACGTGCGTCTTGTTGTCGCTGTATCTAGTGTTTGGATAACACGTGATATTGAAACACTGTATAGAACTAGAAGCCAGGTATTTAATCGTGTTGAACAATAAGTTGCAAAAGCAGTGTGAAGGGAGAAAGATTCAGTAAGCATTACATGCTTGACCTGAATATATCCCTGGAACTTTTCTCCCTGGCTGCCTGAATAACATACAATACATAGGTAGGCAAAGGCAAAGGTAGTGCACAATAGAGATATTCAGGTAAGAGAGATAATCACTCACTCTCCAAACCTGTAGCAGCTTACAGCTTGAATAAGATATGTTGTACAGCATTGCAAGGTCAGTGCATTTTTATACTATGCCTATAGCTAAATATATGCACAAAAGTTTATTCTTACAAAACATAGACTGGTTAACTTTCGCGACGGGGAAGAGTGAGTGAGTGAGTGAACATGGTTTTACGCCGCTTCTAGCAATATTCCAGCAATATCACGGCGGGGGACACCAGAAATGGGCTTCACACATTGTACCCATGTCGGGAATCGAACCCGGGTCTTCGGCGTGACAAGCGAACGCTTTAACCACTAGGCTACCAAACCGCGTCAGGGAAGAATAACTATCAGTGCTAATTACTGTAAAGTGTTGGCTTCTTTTGCTAATCACCTATAAGCCTTTTGTTATCCTATTACTTTTGTTGTTCTTACATGTACATATAGGCTCTCTGCCTCATAGCATACATTCACCTGATGAAGGTTTGTTTGTTTGTTGTTTTACGCCGCACTCACCAATATTCCAGCTATCGGTATATGACTGGGTCTGTAAATAATCGTGTCTGGACCAGACAATCCAGTGATTGATATCATGAGCATTGATCAATGCAACTGGGATCGATGACATGCATCTACCAATTAAGTCAGCGAGCCTGACCACCCAATCCTGTTGGTCGCCTCTTACGACAAGCATAGTTGCCTTTTACGGCAATCATGGGTTGCTGAAGACCTATTCAACCCCGGATCTTCACGGGTCAACTTGATAAAGGAGTAAGATATACTCCGAAAAGTTGCGTTCCTCATAATAAAGAAGTTGACATTCATGGAGTGTGGTCATACAAGCCTAGCTGTTAATATAATTAATAAATATGTTGTCTTCCGGATTTCCATATTTGATGAAAAGTGTGACCTCCGACCTCGCACGTGTTGTTATAGGCTTTATTAGGGTTGAGCGTCCCTCCCGTGGTTCTCAGCTGGTGTTATCATAGGAGGACCACTGTTAGGTAGTTTGCGATATTTGTTACAACTTCATCTTACTGGCAAACCAGTCTTAGACAATTTGTGGGTGAACCAAAACGATCAGTAACTTACCCACAAGAATCGGTGGTATGCAGTTGAGTTGAATTTCAGTTGGTCTATTGAGACCCATAGCAGCACATTGTCTAGCAAGCCAGTCGTTTAAACCGAGTTCCAGAAAGGTAGTCATGTTTTTTACTACAAATTATGCCAATTTTATACATATGACAACAAAGTACCAGCTATAACGCGTTCAGGTCAAACCGCACACCATGTTGTTTGTCACACTCTGTCGACTGAGTGTGAGGCAAAACTGATCAGCTCAAAACGGAATGGCGCTATCTAAATCGGCTCGTGTGAAAACGGCGCCATATGTGTTTGGTTGAAACGGCACCAGATAGCGATTAGGTACTCGTGAGTGAGTACGGGTTATCCAACATTTGCATGGTAGATAATGGTGGTAAAATTTCTTAAAACTTTTCATTTGAGGTAGATTACATACGTCTTATGTTGAAAAAGCACTGGACAATCCGTATACCAAGCCCGCCGTGATATTGCTGGAATATTGCCAAAAGGGGCGTAAAACCAAATACTTATTCACCTCAAAAAGCCTGTTACAATACGTGCAACATGTGGGCGGGCATTATCCTGCTGCGACGTGGCCTTACGTCACTGCATTTGTACAAAAAATGGAACATGATCTTGAACGATGTCGTCCCGGCAGCGTACGCCATTCAAATTGCCATAACAATGATGAGTTGTGTTCTCCCATGAGTTGTGATGCAACCCCGTACCATTACACTTAACCTCCCAAACTGACGACGTTGAGTAACGCAAGCGTAGCTAAAACGTTCTCCTGGGCGCCTGTAGACCCTGTAAACTTTCCTCGTCTTGTCATGTTAACCTCAGATGCTGTCTATACCAAGTTAGGCGTGCCTAACGGTGACGTGTAAGTAAAATTTGGCGTGTCGCTGGACGTCGGGTCGGATGTTGTACTCCTTCAACCGTCTGCATACGGTTCTGCCACTAAATGGCCTCAACCCAGCAGTATAATATCGATATCGTAGATGAGCCAACCGAATGTGGTTATCTTGTTGACGTGACGTCATACGCGGACGACCGGCACATGGCAGGTCTTGAGTGTTGCCCCGCTGTAGATACGTCTCCTGTAGATACGTACCTGTAGATTTTAGGAACTACTGCCTGGTATCTGGTACCAACATCCCCTTCTTCTATAGGTTCTTCTGAGCAGATTTTTTTCTCATTAACACTCCCTAACGGACGTGGAAGTATTCACTCTTGCTATCGCCACATTTTCCAAAGCTTTCTTCAAAGTGCTTTCATGTTTCGGTTGTGCATGGAGTTGGATTGACAGAAACCCTCGACTGAAACATCCGACAGAAGCTATCTATAGGCCCTTGGAAATCAACGGCCTGGTCGCTATTCCATGCTTCCACGGGTTGAAATGTCACTTCAGTCACTTCATTCTCTACTGGGAGACCCGTGAAGATTCCGGGGTAGAATAGGTCTTCAGCAACCCATGCCTGCCGTAAAAGATGACTATGCTTGTCGTAAAAGGCGATTAACGTGATCGGGTGGTCAGGCTCGCTGACTTGGTTGATGCATGTCATCGATCCCAATTGCGTGGATCGATGCTCATGATATTAATCACTGGATTGTCTGGTCCAGACTCGATTATTTACAGACCGCGGTCATATAGCTGGAATATTGCTGAGTGCGGCGTAAAACAACAAACCAACCAACCAACCAACTCTACTGGGAAAGGGAAGACAACTGCTTGGGATACGTTTAATGAATTTCCTGAGCTCACCCACGCTTTCCCTTAACTAGCAGACCGGCATATATCTCAAACAACACAATGCAGCTTCTACCGAATCCTCCAGGCGTGGATATACGTGGATACCCAAGTAGACAACACTTGGTCAGGCACAACAACAGTGTTATGGACTTATACGCTGCAGCTGTATAAAGTGTACACTACACTTGTAGAACCTATACACTACACCTGTAAGAAATCTTGCACATCCTGTGTTAATGTTACAAAATTGCCTTAGTGCAAGTGTTCCTAATGACCGAATTATACAACTGTAAACACATCCATTGAACTGATATTCCTGGTCATACTTGATAGAAGGAAGTTGATTTTATAGTTTCGGGTCCATGACAATAATGTCAATATTACTTACACATACGTTCCAGATTATCACATGATTGTGGGTACTTGAAAGCAAAGTTATGTGCAACATTTCTTGTGATATATATCTTAGGTGATCCAACATAACGGATACAGTTCCCATTCAAGTTATTAATCAAAGATGTCCTTATTGAATCGTTCTCTAAAACGATGCATTTGTAAAATGATCATGAAGATATTAATAAACAATACATATACAATCGTACATTGTCATTTAAAAATGTGTTTTGTTCATCAAACTAAATCTTGTCAAATTACCCAAAGCCGAAAGATAACATAAAATATCGATATCAGCTGTAGAAAGGGGCAGTTTCTGAAAATTAGTTCATTTTGGCGGCCATCTTGGATTTTCGTTACCACAAGGGGGTGTTGCATACTAGATTTTAATTACACATACCATTGTTGCAATTAATCCTGAACACATTACCATGATGATTTGTATAAACTGACCAGATAGTTATGATATATTGAGTATAGATTGATATCATTAAAGATTTCAGTCATGTTGGTGACCATCTTGGACAAGGGTTCGCTCCTGAGCTGGATACATAATCAGAAATGTTCGGAATGGTTCAATGACTAAGTTTGTTTGGTGTTTTTTAAACCAAGGTGCACATTTGTCGCCATTACCGACACACTATAAAGACTGACAACAGTCAGTGAAGTCGTTGCGAGATACGAGATATCAACCCCTGGGAACGGTAACTCATCAGTGAGACCCATTTGTGCCACTCAGACTGTGTATTGAGTCTATGCAGCGGAACGGTTCGGAAAACACCGCCAATCACACTGTGACCAGTGGCCGAGTTTCGAGTTTCGGGCACTACCCCAGCAACATTTTACTGATTTTACGCATTGACTGTAACATATGGAGCCGCGTTGATTTTTTACTATTTTGTTAATATTTTATTGATGGCTTTTTAATGTCTTTTTCTGTCTCAGGCTATATTACTTGGATATGAAAAAATAATCAGATTAGCTACAGTACTTATATAACTACTAACTTCACAATAGCCACTTTCACCTTGATGACTTATGCAACAACAACACCGGCGTCTTGCTTTGTCTGCCTCTTCTATCTTCTAATCAACTATTTTTCTGTTGAGCTAATTTGCTGAAGCAGTTGGTCATATTTTCATTTGAAGCAGCTCAGTTGTGTTCCATATCGTTTTGTGCACTAACGGATGGTTAGTTTTGTGTTTTCTTGGAACCAAGTATTTGTGCTCAGGATTTCTATAATAAGGTAAGTTTGTGTTTGGTTCATGTTTATGCATCTTGTAGATGTGTCTACGTATTTAGTTTTATGAACTAGATGCATTCAGGTAATTGTATATATATTTCGAAGTTAACTTGCAAACAAGTTTAAATTATAAACAGGTATTTCATCATGTATGTAGTGTATGTGCCTTGGCCATCGAATGAAGGAATAGCTGTCAACTCACACCCCAGTTCTGTTTTGGTGTCCTCAGAGGAGCCTTGCCCGCTACTCCACACATTACTGGTATACATGTACTACACGAAACACACACACACTTGATATATATATTATCGGGGGTTCGACTCGACCTTATTGCCGTCTGATCCAGCCATCTGTCAACAACAGAAAGTAAACGTACTATATCGTGTATATTGATAAATTGCATAAATGGAGATATGGCAAACGTTTCTGTTTCTTGCTTCTGCTAAGATGTATTTTTCAACATGTTTGAGTTCGGCTTATCAGGGTAAGTTCTAACTTCTGACTACGAGGAATTCGACACATACGGTTTAAATTAGTGGCAGATATGATAAGTAGCCAAACACGATGTTACTGTATAAATATAAGCCATTTCCTCTCCTTAATAAATCTCACCTCGAAATATATACACATGTATATATATTTATGACGCTAAAAATAACTGTTCTCGTGTGAGTCGAAACCGCGGTAGTAGGCTACTGTATTCGATGGTGCTGTTTCAGGACGTAATCGTTTTCAATCATTAATATTCTGACAGCTGAGGGTGTATACATTCAAGTCTAGAGATCAACTGGCCGAACGTTTGGAAAGAAGGTGAAGATATATTTTAGCCTTTTACCTAACGTCGTGTGTTTCTATTGTAATGTGATGTAAGGGCCCAGACAGTGCTCCGAGGAGGCGGGTGTTGATTGTTGTTATGGTGCTATAAGACTATTGACCTGTATTATTGGCAGTATTATTATTAAATTGATGCATCTCTTGAGTCATGCCATCGACATACAGAACATAAGCCTATGTCCATAGGTGCACATGATATTTTGGGTACTTTCAGTAAAATTACGATAGGCCTTGCCTAAACCTGTCGAGTGAAACAGGGAAGAGGATATACTCTGCAGTGTCGAATCTCGTCACGTGGGTACAACAGATTCCTTTCCCACGTCACGAGACACGACAATTTTGTTAAAATATGTGATCACTTGACTTGTCTCAGCGTTCGGTTGCCTATATTTGTGTACATGTTACATACATAATACTTAATTAATTGAGGGGGTGGGGCGGGGTGGGGCGGGGTGGGGGTTTGTTGCCTAAAAGTCCTTGCCGGGCAGAGACAGACCAATGTCATTATTGGCTAATTAATCTATTATCGACGACCAGACCTACATGTTATTGGTGCAACTACATATAACATTAATCAGCCAAGCAACCAAGCAACACACATGTGCAACTTTATTGAGTTACTGCGTGGAAATCGCTGGAAAATGGGGAAGTTGAAAGGTTGGAACCTATCTTGGCTAAGTGTAAAGGGTTCGTGGCAAGACATAACACAACATTCAAAAGTACAGATTCATATACGTCATCAGCGGAGATAAGTGCTACCGCAAGAAACCATCTGTAGAACTACAAATACTTTTTGATTCCAAAACCGCAACCTTCCAATACTCATTCTGTTTCATAGCTCTTAACTATTCCATCTTTCTCCAAGCAAATATAATGCAGTACATATCCTAAATTGCTACCCCATCAATTAAGTACAATAGCAGCAATATTTTGAGACCACCCCCAACTCATACATGCATGACAACACACAAATATTTTTATAATTTTACCTGTAAAAGTACATTTTAAGGGTAATCAAAATGTCAGTTAGGACAGGCTAGATTAGGTCAATTTGTGTTATTTTGATATTTGCTCTTTCTATAGTCCTATGACTCGTATTTATTAAATGAAGCCAGAAAAGCATTTTTCTAGCATTTGAAGCAGTACTTCAATTTCATGGTATTTCATGGTATTGTGTTGATACCTCAGTAAGTACTCTTGTATACAGAGGGACAGATTAGATAGAAATTCTCTCATCAAGTTGGACTGAAGTAACAGTCAGAAGATTTGTTCTTTCGAATTTGTGGGGGATTTGTCATCTTCTGATGACTCTTGTTAGTAAGTTAATTGATTATTATTCGATAAGAACCAACACTCGTCGTATGATTGTGTGTTTTAATGGAAAATTATTGTGAGGAACCAGGTGCCAAAATGATGATTGACGGACTATAGTTTACATATGACATTCCAATACAGTGCATCAACTCAGGGCACTTGCAGTCTTCCTCCACCACCCTACTGTGGGATAAATTGCGATGTGTTGTATCAGAAAAAGAAATACTCAGTGTATTTTTATGTTATATACTTATCCTGATACAACAGCTCTAAGTTACCTCCCAACCATTCCCATCTTCCCGAGGCAAGTGAGTTAACTGACTATAAAAGTCCAGTTTCCACCCTTGCCGAACTAGGCTGGTATTAAGGAGTTAGATGTTGGCTGGACTAACGAGTCTATGCATAGTCCAATCAAAATCGCGCACCGAAATCGAAATCTGGTTCGTAAAGTGTCATGCAGATTTCAGTCGACTCCAGGATTTGTAAAGCATGTGCACCGCTAACTCGTTGTCAACAGATATTTTCTAAATCTTTTCATGTTTTTAATCAAGGTGCTCACGTGATTTGATGCACTTCGCGATGTAAGACTCATTTTATCACAATATAGATCTTGATTATTGATCAGATCGTCTTGACTGGGCGCCACCGTTTTGTTTGAAGCAAATGCAAGTGATATGGGAGGTTGAATCTGATTGGTCAATAGGAGAGGCATAGAAAGGACATAACTTGTAGTTGCCACTGGTGGCGCTAAGATCGAGCCCAGGAATTCCAGCCTAGTTCGGCAAGGGTGAGAACTGGACTTTTAAAGTCAGTTAACTCTCTTGCCTCGGGAAGATGAACCATTCCCTGTCTTGTAAAAAGGTTTTGGGGAATTGAGGAAGAGGTGGGGAAGGGGACGCTTCTGATTTCAGCTATGTCGTCAGCTATGTCATCACAAAATGTCCATTGTCTCAATAAGTGTTGTACATTTACAACTTCTCCTTGATACTATGAAATGGATTTTCAATGTGGGCACCAGATAGCCATCTTAAAAAGCAAAATTTTAAAACCACTCTCAAAAGCAGCTTAAAACATGATGGCTGACAAATGTAGTATCAGGTATTTCAAAGGCATCTTGATCGGGAACATCAAATGGTTGCCAATGGCTATATTGGGCAAATACCAAGACTGGTGAGTCACTTGTTGTAAACATCATCATATTGTCATGGCTATTTATGGCCATTACTCAATAATTGTTTGTTCAAAATGTAATTAAGATTTGTATATGTGCAGTTAGGAGTTGGGCTCAACATATTCATTTTTGTGATATTTAAACTTAGACCTTGATTTGAACTTTGCTTTTTGACCCTTCTGAGAGATGAAACTTTTTTGGGCCTTCTTAGTTACTCAACTGTTTTCTTTCAAAATACTGAAATTTTTAAACTTATCCTTTCTCATACTATGCATTTCACCCTTCTTCCGATCCCTTGTGTGGAAACGTCCTTGAACAAAGTTTCCAGCTTCTAAGCTTCATTTGCCCAAACAACCCAGCATCACCATGGCAACTGTCTCAGCAATCAGGTCATGCACCCGAATCTCTTGTGCAGCATGCTGACCTTAGTCTGGCCACCTCTGTCTCATCATTCTCTTGCTCTTCGCTTCCTGTGGAGAAATGCTTTTTTTGAGAGTATATTTAGGCCTTTATTTTTCTCAAAATTACTGGAGTTTGGGGCTCTTTTTACGCCTAAGATATGGGCAAGGATCAAGGAAAACAACCAGCTTGCAAGAAGTGTCGCTACATTTTTGTGCCGACAGATCCTCACAAACTATGTTGTGATTGTCGGGGCATATGTCAGCCAGGTTTACAGTGTTCAGAATGCATTCATCTGTCCCAGGAGGCATTTTCTGACTATCTTAAGAAATCCCAAAAGAGAGGCCCATCAAAATCTAAAGATACAGACCATAGACCCTCAGTGTCCAAGAAACCCAAACATGTGACAAAGACTAGCAGTCGTCCATCTGTAAAATCTGTGGTTAAGCAAAGTAGCCTAGTGGTTAAAGCGTTCGCTCGTCACGCCGAAGACCCGGGTTCGATTCCCGACATGGTTACAATGTGTAAAGCCCATTTCTGGTGTCCCCAACCGTGATATTGCTGGAATGTTGCTAAAAGCAGCGTAAAACCATATTCACTCACTCAAACCAGGGACGACCCTCTAAAGGTTGACGTTCGTTAGATCGATGTTGTATCGGTCAACATTCTTCAGAGGGTCGACATTCCATGCATTAATATGACAAGGGTCGACATTCCAAGGAATGCGCTTCGCCCAGTCATCGATCTGGAGATCGATCTGACAAGACTCTACATCCTACAGATTGACATTCTAAGGGTCGACTTTCAGATCACTCCCCTCAAGGTTGATTGTCTATAGAGCACACTTCGACATCGAAGCAAGGAGGAGATTATTCTGACTCAGATCATCACCACTATCCAGATCGACATTGTCACCTCGACCAATCATCTCAACATCATCTGGATCAATACTACGGACATGGAAGAGATATTGAATGGGATTGACATTGATCTTCATCTTAGCTCAACATTGACATTGACACTGACATGAGGATCGACAAGAAGAGAGAGGTTGAACATCCTCACACTCACATTCTGAGTCTCCGGGGAAGACAAATACAGAGCGATCTCCAGACTTCAGGGGATCACAGAGACCAACTATCTGAACAGATTTGATAGCTACTACAATCCCTTTCTACAGTTCTTCATAGCGTAATGAAAAGTCGGGAAATACTTTTGGGGAAATTGCTACCTTGACTTTGGCACAGCCATCATCAGGTACGGCGCTCAGGGATGGGACTATAGTAGTATAGGTAATGGGGGTTCTGGACCACTTCCACTGGAGCCAGATTTATATACCTATACCTATACCACCACTACAGGGGGAATTTTTTATGCAAAAATGATGATGCGATTTAACGATCGTCATAAGATTAAACTAAACTGTAATGAAAGTATTCTCTATTATTTTTATTCATAGGTATACCATTATTTTTAACAAAGTGATACTGAACATTTTTACTAAGTTCTTCGTTCATTTTACTAGGAGACCAGACTATATACTCTTCTTGGTAATTGGAAAGAAACAATTGATGACCGTATTTGGTTGGTTTGACATCACTGATATAATATATACCTTGTAATTCTCTCCATTTGATAATTTTGTCCCTGAGCATAGATGCTTCGATAGCTTTTTCGAGTTCTTCCTTTATTGGTTTGTAATTCTCCATTATTATATATTTATGTAAGCATTCTTCTAAATGAATGTATGATTTTATGCGGTGCGATCTAATGATAGTAAGCAATCTATTTTTAATCTCCAACCAGTTCTTTGGTTTTGGCACAGAATAATTGACGCGCTTGTTGTCTCCCCTGTTCTATAAACTTTTTTTTCTCGTCTTCGCTAATACCACTGGTCTTATGAGAATTTGATTGAATCTCCTGCTTCATTGTGTTGTATTTGGTGAGTTCTGACAAAACTAAACGAAACTCCTCCTCGGATATCTTACAATCGGCCATTGCTGTTGAAACATGGTCCTCAATGCTGTTCAAGTTTGCTTCGGCGAGTATCCGAATATTATCATGTTTTAATGCTTTCTTTTGCAACCTACGA